TCCTGCCTGTGAACCTGCTCTCAGGACCTGCAAAGCTCTTTGTCCACGGACCTGCCTCCCAGTGCTCCCATTTAAGTGGCAACTGCCCTGCCGTGCCCCACCTCTTGACTGCTAGCTGAACTGCACCCCTGGAAGGTTGTCATGTGGATGACCTCCCTCCCCAACACACACACACACACACACACACACACACACACACACACACACACACACTGCCCCCCGGGTCACTGTGTAATTGTGCTCAATGGGCTTGAAGAGCTGAGTGAAACCTTCCGTTAAAGGTGGCACTTGACACCAGCCAGAAGGACAGAGCCCTGCGGGGTGGACAGAAAGGACTGGAAGGAAGGACCGAGCTTTCCTAGCAGACAACAGATGTGAAACTTGGGGGTTGAGAGCAGTGTCAGGGGCCAAAGGCCTGCAGTTCTGTGTGCATTTACACAACTCTTGAATCTGTGACTGGAGTGGGGGGGAGTGAGGGGGCAGGGGTGAGCGGGAAGGAGCCTTGGAGAGCTCCTGATTTTTTTCTTTTTCTTCCCCTTTTGGGTCACACTTGTTGATGCACAGGGCTGACTCCTGGCTCTGCACTCAGGAATTACTCCTGGCGGTGCTCAGGGGACCCTATGGGATGCTGGGGATCGAACCCAGGTTGGCCACGTGCAAGGCAAATGTCCTCCCCGCTGTGCTATCGCTCCAGCCCCAAGCTAGTGCTTCTTCCGCCTCGGCACTGCAGGTGACGTATGTGTGAAGCCATCTCGGAGCCTCTGCATGGTGTGGAGGGTGTCAAGGTCCCGCCAGCACCCCAGGCAGTCTTCAGCATGCACCCAAGACCCATTTTACCTGCGCTTCACGGGAACAGGTCCCCATCACCCAAGTTTTCAGGGGGGTATGGTTCTCTGAGGGAGGGAGGGTCTGCTCTTTGGAGAGGAGGTAAGTGGGGCCACGTCCCATGATGCTCAGGGCTTATTCCTGGCTTCTGCTCAGGGATCACTCCTAGCAGTGCTCAGGGGACCGTATGCAGTGCTGGGGATGGGACACAAGGCAGTCACCCGGCCTGCTGTAGGGTTGGCTCTTCACAGGGAAAGGAAGGGTCTGTCTTGGCTTCCTCCTACCCCTTGGCTTTCCTGGGTTCCGCGCCTATTTCCCCAGAAAGGAACTTCAAGAGAAGGCAAGGAATGAGGCAGAGAACTTTTATGAAAAAGGAAGGAGAGGACTGGAGCAGTAGTACAGTGGGGAGGGCACTTGTCTTGCATATGGCTGACCCAGTTTCTGTCCCCGGCACCCCAGAAGGTCCCCCAAGCACGCCAGGAGTGACTCCTGAGCACAGAGCCAGGAGTAAGCCCTGAGCACCACAGTGTGTATCTCCAAAGCTTAAAAAAAAAGTAGGGAAGGGGGAGAAAAAGAAACGTGAAGTGGAAGAGATAGTACAGCCATTAAGGCACTCCAAGGGGCCCTTATCTCTCCCAGGTGTGATTCTTACTGCAGAAAAAGAAGCTTACCAACAAGAGATCATGGGCTTCCCTGCAGAGGAGAGAGCCTGACTCACTCTGGCCGTGGGGCTATCGACAGGTGTTCTCCAGTGTGTCACAGCCCCGGGTTCTCTGTTGCTGGCGGCATCTCGGGGGTTGTCAAGAGGCCTTTGAACCCTGGGTGACCCTTCACGGGCTTAGTAGCTTGTTCCTTCTCTTCTGAGGGGTCTCCGCCATTTTGTTCCTTCTCTTCTGAGGGGTCCAGTGGGCGGGGGGGCGGCGTTAGGGCTGGCATCATCCCATCTTCGCAGGCCTGAGCTTGGTAGAATAGGGGTCTTGCCCTGTGCTCTAAGGCCGGAGACTTCTTTTCAGAGGGTGTTTTGACTTTACTCCCGAATCTCATTGCTAGGACGTTCTTACTTGCGTAGCTCAAGAGCCAGATGCGGGTGGAGGCAGCCTTGAGAGAACACGAGGGAAGGAAAAGTCAAGTTTCTCTAGACAGGTGGGAAGGCCAACCTGGGAATGTCAGACCAGGTGAGGACAAAGGGGGGATGGGATGTACCGGCAGGAAGGGCCCCTGGGGGGGAGTTGACTGAGCAGGGGTTAAACCACAGGTGGCACTGTGGGCCCCTCCTGCCTCACTCAGCTACACACACACACACACACACACACACACACACACACACACACACACTGCTCTGGGCCCTGGGGTCACTACTCCCTTCTCCCACTATGGGGCGCTATCACTATCTCACTTGCCAGATCTTTTCTTCACATCATCTCCTGTTTGGGGGCTCCCAGGCAGTGCTCAGGTCCTGAACTCTTGGCCAAGCTAGACATCCCCTCGGCACAAGGACCAGTACATATAATGCAGCTCGGAACCTCCGGTCTGGGGTTCCGCAGGGCACACTCGCAGTGCCGGGGGTCTTCAGGGTTGTAGGTGGCAGTGCTTGGTGTGGTGCCCAGAACTGAACTTAGCTGTCGGCGCGATCCTAACTGCTCTACTCCCACCAGGTCCCAGATTTAGGGGATTTTGTTTGTCTGGTCGGCTTGGTGGCCACACCCGGCTGTGCTCAGGGCTGACTCCTGGCTCTGTGCTCAGGGATCCAACTGGGGTCAGCCACCTGCAAAACCACAGACTTACCTGTTCACTCTCTGTGTGTCTGTGTTGTTTTGGCTCCAGTCCGTGTTTTGACTTGTCCAAGGACCCTCTCCTGGGTCCCAGCGGATGGTGAGTCTGGCCTCCTGCCGTGTCCAAACACCATTGGGAAGTGTTGACAGCCTGCAAAACACCGGTGCACACGTGAGAAATGGCCCCTGAGGTTCAAGATAGTTACACCTGACCAGAGAGCCAGGCAGGCAGCGAGGGAGAGGGAGAGAGCCGGGTGGCTTCACGGGATCAGAGGTCACAACCTCCTCTCCAGAAAGCCCTGGACCTTTCCCCGAGCACTGACCTGCTCATTTACCTAGTCAGGAGTTTTTGCTAAGCACCTTCTCTGCTCCGAGCAGCACCCAGCAGGGACAATGGGTGTTTTTGAGATAAGGCTGGGTGAGGACAAGGAAGAAGGCTGGGGTCAGAGATGGGGTCGGGGTCTCAGAGCTCAGGTCAAAGTTGTCTGTTCTTCCTCACTCCTATTTTCTGTTTTTTCCTGTGTCTGGGCCACACCTGACTTACTCCTGGCACTGTGCTCAGGCATCACCGCTGGTGGTGCTTGAGGGTCTGTGGGTTTTCTCCTGGCTCTGTCCTCGTGGTGCTTGAAGGATCATGGGTTTACTCCCAACTCTGTGCTCAGGCATCATTGCTGAGAGATCATGGGTTTACTCCTATCTCTGTGCTCAGGCATCATTCCTGAGGGACCCTAGGCTTACTCCTGGCTCTGTGCTCAGGCATCATTCCTGAGGGACCCTGGGCTTACACTCTACTCTGTGCTCAGGCTTCACTGCTGGTGGTGCTTGAGGGACCATAGGCTGTGCCGGTGCTTAGAGCAGAGTCCACTGGCCAGAAAGGCCAGCACCCTTTTGGCTGCTCTCTCTCCAGCTCCTAGTCTCATTCTCACCCTCGTGGAGGAGGAGTGTGATCGACCCTCAGCCAAGGACCAGCCATCCGGGCCTGGCAGCTGGGCATTCGACCCAGGGACCTGCAAAGGGCGGTGTGCCCTTGCTGATGTGCGGTGGTGACGGAAGCACCTCGGGGCTGCGGGGAATCCTCGGGGCTGTGGGGAATCCGCCTCCCCATCAGCATGTCAGATGGCGCCTCCCCTCGGGTCCTGCTACGTCACAGCCCACACCTGCCACCACTCGTGTAGCTCCGCTGGTACATGTCCGGCCCTCGGCTCCAAGCCTCTGAGATTCTGGGCCCTCCTGCCATTATGGAAAGGACCCTCTGCCTTCGGTTTTCTGCCCTTTTTCTGGCCTCATGAATGGGCCCCTCCGTCCTGAGCCCATTGGGTCACTCTGTCTAGTTCCCCCCCGCTGGCTGGTGCCGCCTGGTCTGGTCGAGCCGCAGACTCCCCAGACAGTGAGTCTGACCTGCCACCCCCTCTGTTTCCTCGGGGCCAAATGCTAATTCCTCATCTCAGGCTAAGGTGGGGGAGGCCCGAGTGTACCCCACCCCACCCCTGTCCTCCTGGGAGACTCTTTCAGGCATTGCAACTTCCCTCCATCCCGTCTCCCCTCCGCTTCCCAGGTCCCCAGCTCAGTTCTTTTTTTTTTTTTTTTTTGGCTGGTTGGTTTGGGGGGCGGGTCACACTTAGCAGCACCTGGGTGCCAAGTTGCAGTGCCGGAATCGAACCCGAAGCTCCTTCAGGTCAACCATGCTCCGAGGCCCAGGAGCCTCGGTCTGAATTCCATCCCGCTCCCCCCTCTGGCCTCCCTGGTCCTTCCCGGGCGGCTGGGCCCGCAGCCACCTGGGGGAACAAGAGGGACCTGAGCTGTCTGTGTTGACAAATGCCACCTTTGTTTGGGGCCGGCTGGTTCCCAGGCAGATGTCCAGGCGGGCCGGACAGCCGGACGCCGCCCGGGCGGGAAAAGCGGCTGCTGGTCATCTTTCCCGGTGCCTGCTCTCCTCCGGCCACGGCGGCGGGGATGTCCCCGGCCAGAAGGGCGACTGGACAGGACCCAGCGAGGGGGCAGCGCGAGCCCGGAGACCCAGACGGCCAAGGAGCCAGGCAGAGGCGCCCGGCAGAGGCTCGCCTGCGGGCAGCGACTGGCCGCCTCTCGCCTTCCTGCCGCGTCTGCCTTGGCCGGGAAGGGGCGGCCGGAGCCTTCCACGGGACGTGAATCGCTGGCCTGACCTGGCCGCGGCTCTTTCTCGCGTCCGGCCGGGTTTCGCCCGGGCCCGGGATTTCGGCCGCAGGCGGGCGTGCCCCAGGCCGCCCTCCACCCCCTCCCACCACCCCACCCACCCCACCCGGCTCCGCAGGACCAATGACAGCGGGCGAGCAGCTCCTGCACGGTGACTAACCGCTCCGGGTATTTAACAGGCCGCAGGCAGGAGCCGGGACCGCCTCGGGTTTCTCCCGCCAAGGGCGCGCTCCCATAGGTGCCGGGCTTCACCCAGCGGGGGCCTCTGCATCCCCCGCCACCATGTGCTACGGCAAGTGTGCGCGCTGCATCGGCCACGCTCTGGCCTGGCTGGGCGTCCTCTGCATCGTGGCCAACGTCCTGCTGTACTTCCCCAACGGGGAGACCAAGTTCGCCTCCGACCACCGCCTCAGCCGCTTCGTGTGGTTCTTCGCGGGCATCGTGGGAGGGGGCCTGCTGGTAAGTGGCCCCAAGCGCAAAGCCAGCCCAGGCGGGGCCCCTGCCAACGGGCGGTTGCCAGGATGCGCTGGGCTCTTCGCTCTTTTCCCCTCCTGGAAAGTTTTCTCCGAGGTCTGTCTCCAAAGCCAGGCTGCGCTTTCTTCCAGCACTTAGAAACAGAGGGCAGGAAAGTCGTTTCTTTTTCTTTTTGGATGCCTCTTTGTCCAAAACCCATTTTCAGTTCAGTGCGAATGACCTCTCTAGCAATCAGAGTCGCTTTTAACTGGGATTTGGGAGACTATAGAATTCCCTTTCTGAGGCCAGGAGCTGTTTGACACTGGCTCTGGGGAGCCGGGAGGAGCCGGGCTGGTTCTCTGTCTAAATCAACAGAATTTGGGACCAAATTCTCTCCTGTTTATCCTCAGACATCAGAGACAGGGGACAAAGAGGGAGGGAAAAAAAACAGAAAGAAAGAAAGAAAGAAAGAAGGAAGGAAGGAAGGAAGAAAGAAAGAAAGAAAGAAAAAAAGAATTGTGAGTAGTGAGTTCATTGCTATTAGGGAAAAAGGATCAATTTTCTCCTTCTTGCAATTCTGGGTGTGGTATCCAGGAACAAATTCTGCAGTGAGCAGCCATCAGAGCCTGAAGCCCCTGGTGGAATGCGTTGTTTTTTCTAAGGCTTGTTTTTAATTGAAGTGCAAGGAATTTGCCTGCCTGATGGAGAGCTGAGTGCACTAGCTTCACTCACAGGCCGGAAAGAATGTGAGCAAGCTGGAGTTGGCTTGAGAAGGCTGGAATGGAGAATTTTCAAGAGGGATTTGATGCAAGTGTTAATGTCTCCCAGGTTATTTTTTCTTAGTCAACAGGTAGGAAAACAGTTCAAGCTAATACTCTATATTAGGCAGAGCAAATGCGCCTTGAGCAAAAAGTTTTACTTTTTCTTTTAACACCTTCAACCATTCTGACTAGAATATCGCTCCCGTTTAAGCTGCTTTTCATTCCAGAGGTGCTCTTATTTGCTTAAGAGTTCACTTGCAAAGCCCTCGCCACACCATTGATGCTTCAAAGAGGCATGAATCAGAGAAAGTTTCAGTTATGCAATGAAAGACTAGTTGGTCTCTTACAGGCTCTGTGAAGGTGATGGTGGTGGTTGCGGGGCCAGGGGCGGGGGTGGGGGGGGGTCGTGGAGGAGGAGGCAGCGACAATCAGATTCGAAAATGAGGACAAATGGTTCCAAAGTGGAGATTTCCTTGGGGACACTGTTACGAATTTCAGAGTTTACTGAACACTTTCATAGGCCAGTAGCTCACCCTGTAAAATAAGGCAGGACCCCTGGCAGGGAAGCAGGGGTTGCTCACGGGGTTGTTTCGCCCCTTTTCCTCGCCGGGGTTGACGTTTTAGGAGGATGCCCAGTGGACATGACCCACAGGCAGACTCCTCCCAGGGCTAGAAGCCCTTCTTGTCCTGAGAGGCTCGGCCTGGCCCCGGGGAGGGCCAGGGAGGGCAGGGGGCTTGATTCGCCTCTTTCCTGCAGATGTTCCTGCCTGCCAGCGTCTTCATCGGGCTGGAGGAGGAAGATTGCTGCGGCTGCTGCGGCCATGACAACTGTGGCAAGAGCTGTGCGGTAGGTCCTGTGCTGGGGGGGAGGGGGCGTGGGCCCCCACCCCCGACACCACCCCCTCACTCCCACCGTCTGCCCTGCCCCCAGATGCTCTCCTCCGTGCTGGCGGCGTTGGTGGGCATCGCGGGATCCGGTTACTGCGTCATCGTGGCCGCGCTGGGCTTGGCAGAGGGGCCGCTGTGCCAGAACACCCAGGGCCAGTGGAACTACACCTTTGCCAGCACCGAGGGACAGTAAGTCATTGTCCGAACCTTCCTGTCCAGTGCAGGCGTCCGGCGGCCACCCGGCAAATCACCGAAGCCTCAGTCTGCCACCCTGCCACCCCAGGGGCTGACTGGCATCCACTCAGCCCTTGATGATCGATGGGGTCAGAGAGGGGACTCAGTGGCCAACTTGGAGAGGTCCTTGAGGTGTCCCTGTGGGGGTTGTGGGTGAGGGGACAGTCACCGTAGGGCCATTTCACAGATGAGAAAACAGAGGCCGGAGAGCTAGAGTAACCAACTCAATTGTCATTGCAGTCAGGATTTCCACCCAGACAACCAGGTTGTTGAATTGGTGCTCCAGGATGGGTGTCCTGTACCAGAGCAAGGGGCTGATTTACTCGCTTGTAGGAAAATATAATGGAATCTATATATCCTATGGATGGGAACTCTATAGGTTTAACCTAAACCCATTGGAAATCATACCCCTTGCCCCAACACACACACACACACACACACACACACACACACACACACTAATTACAAACAATCTGCCCTTTGAGATTATCAGGTATTTTTATTTCCCTTTTGCATTTTTCGACCACACCGGCAGTGCTGGGAGGGCTACTCCAGGCTCAGTGCTCAATGCTGGCAGTGCTCTAAGGTGACAGGAATCGAACCCAGGCCTCCTTTCGTGCAAAGCATGTGCCATTTGAGCTGTGCTTCAGCTGTAAAATGATCAGGTCATACATAAGGTCTTCTGCACTGCCTCAGTGCCAGGATAATTTGAGAGGTTGCACTGTTTTGTGTGGATTATTTCTTGTCTCCTAACGAGGAAAGAAGAGAAGAGCTGACAGGTAGGATGATTTGTTGTAGTGATGAATGATGACGTCCTCTGGGAATCCGGACAGGTTTAGTTCTGCAGTTAATGGGCGAAAAGAACACAAATCATGAATTCACAGCATTTTCCCACGATCCTCTGTGCCTCGTGGTTCCTAGAGTATGGTGAGGTCACAAGTGCTCGAACTTGAAATTCAAGAGACCTGGTTTTGACCCCAGGCCCCCATTTCCTCTCTGAGTAAGCAGGGGAAAAAAGCGAATGAGCTCCCTGCCTTGTAAAATAAAACGAATGCAGGAGCATTAGCGAGATGGAGCATTTTGGTCACAGAAACAGGCGTGCCCACCATTGGCTGTTGGTGTTATTTACTCCTGGCCCAGGAATATGGCCCCATGGGAGATGGAAGGTCAACACTTAAACAGCCTTGACGTTTCGGTCTCAGTAGCTGTGATTCATGTTTGTTCAAAGCCCACTCACTATACTTGTAGGAACTGGTTACTCATACATACACAAAACCATCTCTCAAAAAGGTGGTGTGTGTTTAATGCAGTTCTTGCAGTTGCAGGAAGTGATTTCATGGAAGATTTTTTTTTTTTAGCTAGTTATCCACCCCTCCCATGAGCTACGAGATTCTGTAAGGAAACTGCTCTATTTTACCCCTCATTGAAACCTGCTGAGGGATTTCCGTATGGGGAACAAGAAATGGTCCTACAGGAGTGGTTGGTTGCTCAGTAACCACAGAACTTGCTTTACAATAGCCCCAGAATTTGACACTTTTATTCCATGGCCATGCAGAAAAGGTCGGGCCAGAAGTTGGATTTCTGATGGACTTCGTGGACCATTCCAGGGTTAGCTCTCGAATTTCCAGCACCTTTGTTCTCCTGGGGTAGGAAGAAGTGATAAGGAAAGAATAATGCCTTTGTGGAGTAAAGTCAGTCCTGGATTTTCCCACAGCATCAAATCCCATCTCATAAAAATCCAAGTATCCAAGAGCATAGGATGAAATCTAAGAGAGTAATCAGAAGTCGATGTTTTTTCAGACTGAAAGAAAATCCAGATGATCAGAAAATCTCCTATGTCATAGGTCTAACTTAGAAATATACATTCCGGCACGTAGGACGTTAGCGTGACTTGCTAACACTTCTCAGACATCTGGTAATTTGGTAATGAGTCCAGTAATTTTTTCTTCTTTTTGGGTCACACCCAGCAATGCACAGGGGTTACTCCTGACTCATGCACTCAGGAATTACTCCTGGCAGTGCTCAGGAGACCATATGGGATGCCAGGGATCGAACCTGGGTTGGCCACTTGCAGGGCAGACGCCCTACCTGCTGTGCTATAGCTCCAGCCCTGAGTCCAGTAATTTTAAATGATGAGTACCAACTGTGGGTCAGATACAGGTTGAGGGCCTGGATTCACTAGATCCCTGTGATCCACTGTCAGGTCTTTCCCTCATGGCGAGTAGGCTGTGAGCGGGGTCTGTGAGCAACATGGTCCTTGTTCTAGCCTTCCTCTGTGGCCCTCACACTCGCAGAATGAGTGTCTCCTGCTCAGTCTCTCACATGGAGTTGTCTGCTCTTACTGAATGGCTACAGGCTAATATAGAGGTGGGTGTTCTTTGTGAAAGTAAAGGTACTTATTAATTGGATTTAATCTCTGCTTTATGTTGCAAATATAGATGTGGGCGTTCTTTGTGAAAGTAAAGGTACTTATTAGTTGGATTTAATTTCTGCTTTGTGTTGCAAATTAACTTGTTCCTTAAAAGCCAAAAAGGAAGAGGAAGAAGTTGGATGGAAGTCATGGTACAGGGGTTAAGGCATTTGCCCTGTAAGTGGCTGATTCTGGTTCAATCCCTGGTACCACCTGGTCCCTAAGCACTGTTGGGAGAAGTCCCTAAGCACCACCAGGTGTGGCCCCAACAAACTCTCCAAAGAAAGTTTTTGTTCAAAAGATCTAAGCTGACCAACTTTGCGTGTTAAAGCTCCCAACTTGCCAAAAAGTGAATAATTTTCAGAAGAAAAAATATTGTGTTTTAGTGAAATACTCCGCATCAGATGTCCAGAGAGGTAAGGTAAAGTTACCAGAAAGTATTCTCTTGAAGGCCTGTCTTTCAAAGAGATGAGAAGTAGAAGTTACAGAAGAAGACAGATTTTTTTTAGTGCCCTAACCCTTCACCACTTTCACAATCACTTTTACTTTTCATCATTTACTCTTAGCTCACATACACAAACCTACATGCATTACATTTATCTTTTTTTTTAAATTTTTTTGCTTTTTGGGTCACACCTGGCGATGCACAGGGGTTACCCCTGGCTCTGCACTCAGGAATTACCCTGTGCTCAGGATAATATGGGATATGGGATGCTGGGAATTGAACCCGAGTCAGCCGCGTGCAAGGCAAACGCCCTCCCCGCTGTGCTATTGCTCCAGTCCCATTTATCTTTAAATAAAGCTTGCACTTTTTGCTTTCCGGATCTGGGATTACATCCAGCAGGTTTCAGGGGTTATTCCTGACTCCGTGCTCGAGGCTCATTCCTGGGGGTGTTCTGGGAGCCACGAAGCACTGATGATTGAACCCAAACCTCCTGCATGGCGTTAGCCCACTAGCCAATGGAGCAGTGATTTCTCCAGGCCATTTTCCGTTCAAAAAACTTTTGTTTGCTAATAATTCCTGTGCATCTAATAATGTGTTTGCTAATAATGCCTATGTATCTGCAGAACATATAACATTAGGATATAAATATTTTTAATTCCCCTAGATTAGGAGCCCAAAGTGTAAGCTTTAAGTTTATGTTCATCTTTGCCCCCAGATCTGGGCTAAGGAGCCAGAGAGATAGCACAACGGTCAGGGTGCTTGCCTTGCACACAGCCAATCTGGACTTTATCCCTGGCACCCTATCTTGTCCCCTGAGCACAGTCAGGAGAGGTCCCCAAGCACAGAGTGAGGAGTAAGCCCTGAGCACTGCCGGGTGTGTCCCCTCAAACAAACAAACCAGAGTGATCTGGGCTAAATCCTTCATTTCATGTGCCGACCTGGGCTGAAAGAATTTGTTCCAGGACATGGAATTCTTTGGGTATTTTTTTTTCCTTAATGAACACAGCTAAGTTGTGGTTGGTGTGAGCAGTTTCTGGCTTTACCCACAGGTACCTTCTGGACAGGGACTCCTGGTCCCAGTGCATCGAACCCAAACACATAGTGGAGTGGAACGTCTCACTCTTCTCCATCCTCTTGGCCCTGGGCGGGATTGAGTTCATCTTGTGTCTCGTCCAGGTCATCAACGGCATGCTTGGTGGCATCTGTGGCTTTTGCTGCTCTCGCCAGCAGGTAAGAAGCTGGACCGGGAGCAAGGAGAGAGGAGGGAGCCAGGACACAGGCCTGGCGTGCTCTTGACTCAGGCTTGATTCCCAGCGCCCCATGGTCCTGAGAGCCCTGCCCCAGAGGACCCCATGCCCCAGTGTGTGTATCCCTGGAGGTCCCCAGCACTGCTGGGATGACCCACAGGATCCCAGGCACTGCGGAACCTCAACGGCATCACACCCCTGGGGCCTGGTCCTGTCTGTATTAATGATCCAGCTCCAGGAAATTGGTGCTGGGGCCCTGGTTCTCTTTTTTTTTCTTTTTGGGTCACACCCAGCGATGCTCAGGGTTTACTCCTGGCTCTGCACTCAGGAATTACTCCTGGCAGTGCTTAGGGGACCATATGGGATGCCAGGAATTGAACTTGGGTCAACCGCATGCAAGGCAAACTCCCTACCCACTGAGCTACCCCTCAGCCTGCCCTGGTCCTCTTAGGTGCCACTCGGGAGGCCCTCTTGCCCCTCCAGGAACAGAGTGTGGGTTCTGGCATCCCATGTTCCATCACACGCTAGCCACCCTCTTTTGGGTACCAGGTGGGTCTTGTGGGCCCGTGCGTCACAGACCCCGGCCCCCTGGAGGGGCGTCTCTGAGGCCCAGGGAGACTCCTGGAGGGCCCAGACCCCCTTCCCTGCAGGCGCACAAAAGGAGGGTGGCTCCTGAGGCTCCCACCCGGCACAAACAAGGCCTGAAAGGGCCCCCACCGGCTAGCTCAAGGGCCGCCACAGCCTTTGAATAGCAGCTGAGGGAAAAAAGCCTTTCACTGAGAAAGAAAGCCAGGAAACACTTGTTTCCTGGGGATATGATTTGGGAGAAAAAATATGCATGCGTTCACAGGGGGCATGTCTTGTTTCGAGAGCCCCCCTAGAACGCATACATTATGGAGGGGGCGGAAGTGCCCTCGCAGCCAGCCTGGGCGTGTGTGTAGCTAGCGGGGTCGGCGGCTTTGTTCTCGGTCTTAGTCTCTACAATAAGGTGAGGTGCCCACCTGGCATGGTTTGACCCTCCTGGTTCAAGGTCTCTCAACTTTATTTGTGGGCTTGGGGGAACATACCCTGTGATGTCCTTGGGGCTCCCTCCCAGCTCTGTGCCCAGGGATCACTCCTGGCAGTGCTCAGGGCACCCTATGCAGCACTAGGCATCTGGGCTTGGCCACGTGCAGGGCGAGTGCCTTAGCCCCCGTTATTATCTCTCTGGCCCTAATCTTCTCTTTAAATAAAGCCAAAACCTCTTGAACCCCAGCGCCACCCTGAAAAGTTGGGCTGTAAAAGAATGGAAACTTACAATTTTTGAGGGGAAGTTCAACTAAAGCTCTGGTTTTCCCTTATCAGGCAAGTACAGCAAGATTAATAATTTCCTTGGGAGCCCGCCAAATTTCCAAGCAAACAGCCCAGTGGGAAACCTTAGGCCTGGAGAGGGTTCCAGGCAGAAAGGCTGGGGAGAGGGAGGGAGGGACCCTGGGGATTACTCTCCTGTGATCTGGCTTTAACCTGGGACCTGAGCATGGGCTGTGAGTGCAGGAAGACCAAGGCTGGGGGACCTCATGGCCCCCAAGCGGCGCCACCGGAAGCCCACCTCAGCTGAGTCTGTAACATGGAATTTCCTACAAGGCGGTTTAAATGGGGACAGTCCCTCCGCTGGATTCCAGCCCCACTGTATGTGGAGGACAGGCTGGCAGGTTCCCGGTCAGTGGCCCAGATGGCTGAACCGGTTCAGCAGAATCAGACCACGTCTGCCCATGGGGGTAGCAAATGATCCCGCTGTGGTTTGTGTCCAAGTCAACCTCGGGGACAGCCATCCCCAGGCCTGGCGAGCAAGCAGATCAGCCAGCTCTGTGGCTAAGACAAAAGGCACTTTCAAAGGTTTCGGTGGAGACCAGTCAAACTTGTAAGTGGGGAGTGTTGCCTTGGCAAGGTGACCCACGTTGAACCCACTTCTGGGCTGTCTCCTCCCCGGAAAGGAGTTTGTTTAGGAAACAGTCTGGGAGCTTTTTCTCCCTGCTGGAGACTCCAGGGTGCAGGTGGATGCCAGCCGTTGCATTCGCTGGTGGCAAATGTGTTTTCTCCCGAAGGCGACCTCATGTCTCTTTCCTTTGTCTTACAGCAATACGACTGCTGAAAGGCCCGGTCTGGGACGGAACCACACTTTTCTCGTTGTAATTTATATATTTCACTTGTATTGATTTGTAAAACTTTGTACTAGTGTATCATACTCCGTATCGTCTACTTTTGTAAACGTGTTTGGAGACTGGCCTCTCCACCCCATATCAGTGTTTGAACACAGCAAGTTCCAACTTTATTATTATTTTTTTAAGGAATAAGACTGGCGGCCGCACTGCAAGGTAATTTATAACGCCGTCATGCTCAGACTGTATGGGAGAAATTTCAGTCTAAAGTCATGAGATTTTTCGAGAACTACAGGGATAAACAGCACATTCCAATGACTATTGTATATATGTGTGCACTTGTGTTTATTAAACAGGAGATTTCTAGTTCTTTTTTTTTAAGACCATGAAGATGATCCAACAACTTAAAAAGATGTTTGTTAGTTTGAGTTTTTTTTTTAAACTGTTTATATGATGTTTCCCGTTGGTTTGCTTGCAAATTTCTAAGATGAGGCCTTTGAACTATGATGTGCTCTCTGAGGAGAGATATTTACCTGCTGAGGGAGCATGCCTTGGGGTCTCCAAACCAAAGGACCGAATAAAAGCATGTCACACTGCTCATGGCGGCAAGTCCCCGGCAATTTTAAAATTTCCTAACATGGGGGCAAGCTCTTCTCCTTCCCAGACGAGCAGGAGGGACTGTGGTTTTTAGAGAAAGGCCTCCAGAATTGGACAAAAAAGCGGGAAATGGAATAAAACAATTGGTCAGCATCATTGGAAATGGGTTGGGGGGAGAAAGAACAGCCCCTACGGCATCATACTGCCCATTTAACTACAACAAATAAAAGTATCCATGGCTGCTTTGTGGTTGAATTTCACTGACTTTGCTTTGAAGTTGTTCCTTTTTATCTTCCTATGTTTTGTTTCTTCTTTAAATTCAGCAAGCTGAGGAGCCTCTGTGAGCTCCCCATCTCACCTCTCCTTCCTCCCCTCCCTCTTCTCCCTCTCCCACTCTCCCTCCTCCCCTCCCTCCTCCCCCTCCCTTCCTCTCCTGTGCATGCCTTGTCATGGCTCTGTTATGTTCAGTATTGTTGCTCTTTCTTCCTGGCTCACAACTCCCCAAAACCTTAGGTTTTTCCTTAGACTTCCAGTAACAAAGAGTGACTCTTACTATGGTAGTTTCTGGAAAAGACCAGAATCTGGACACGGGTCGCTTTCAGAAACCAGCATCCCTGGAGACTGAAACTTTCACGTCTGACTCCGGTTTCCAGGGAAGAACGTGGGCCAGAGATTGAGTTCCATGGCTGTGAATTCACCCATCAGGAACCCTGTCACCCCGCTCGCTGGGTTCCTCTGGCAGCCTGCTCAGAAAGTGGGCCCTGGAACACATGAGTTTGTGAGGGTTCACTTCTTGGGGGAAGGGCTCCCAAAGAGTGCTCAGGAGAGCTGGGGGTCATTCTTGGGGATACAAATATGACCCGCTGGTGTGGGCTTACAAGTTCAATGCCAGTGCCCAGTGATATAGAGGTACTCAGTCCTGGCGGTGTGGGGGCCCAGGTGGTGGGGGCTGCAGGAGCTACTGGAACCCACGAAGCACAATTCTGTCAGCTGTCAGCCCAGTCCTGTTCGAGTTTCCTTCTCTTTGGACTTTTGGCCATTTCGGGGTCCTATCTGTCGATGCTTAGGGGCTACTCCTGGTCAGATTCAAGCACCCGAAGATGCAGGTTGGTTAAATGCCCCGGATGTGGCATCAGTTATGCCAGAGGGCTGACTGAACTCACACGCAAACTTTCAGCGGCTTAGAAAGGACTGTGCCCTTGCCTCTCCCGAGCGGTTCAAAGGTCAACTCTGTTTAGAATATGGAGCCAAACAATATATTGGAGTCTTTCATTAAAACATTTTCCAATGACCATATCATTGTCGTGACATGACCCCAACATCCGCAGACAGGAAGACGAGCAATGCTGGGATCGCAAAGTGATCTGATAATTGTCCAAAAACAACTGCACTTTGAGAGAGGGTTTCAGGGACAGAGAAGCTGGACGAGGGTTTCGGCCTGGCTCGCAGCTGATACCACATGGTCCCCCTGAGCACTGCCCAGCACAGCCCACACTTCCCCCCGCACAGGTCAACTGATACAGGATTCTAACTGACAGATTTACAGATGCCTGAAACCATTTTGTCTACTGCTACTACTACTACTGGGCTGGAGCGATAGCACAGTGGGTAGGGCGTTTGCCTTGCACGCGGCCGAGCCGGTTCAATTCCTCTGCCCCTCTCGGAGAGCCCGGCAAGCTACCGAGAGTATCAAGCCCACACGGCAAAGCCTGGCAAGCTACCCATGACGTATTCAATATGCCAAGCACAGTAAAATGTCTCACAATGGAGACGTTATTGGGCCTGCTCAAGCAAATTGATGAACAATGGGAGGACAGTGCCACAGTGCTGCTGCTGCTACAACTACTACTACTACTGCTACTACTATTGGTTGGATGGCAGCACCTGGTGGTGCCCAGGGCTTACTCCTGCCTCTGGGCACAGGGATCCCATCTGGTGGTACTCAGGAAAACATACACAGTGCCAGGGATCATATGGCCCTGGCTAATCCGGGTCAACCTTACACAAGGCAAGTGCATTGTCTCTTGGAGCAGTGTCTGACCTCGACCTGCAATCATTTTAACATAATGATAGCACAGCGGTAGGGCGTTCGCCTTACAAGCAGCCAACATGGCTGACCCGAGTTCGATTCCTCCGCCCCTCTCGGAGAGCCTGGCAAGCTACCGAGAGTATTCGATATGCCAGACACAGTAACAACAAAGTCTCCAATGGAGACGTTACTGGGCCTGCTCGAGCAAATCGACGATCAACGGGAGGGCCTTTACCTTTACCTTACCTTAGGAAAATACAAGTCATTTTGTGTTGCTGATCCTTGTGTGATTACAATCACTGATATCCCTGCGGCAGCTTGCATTCTATCATCATCAAGAAATTACACACATTCATGAGAGGTTATTAAAAACATGGATACATTTTCCCTCATCCAAGTTTAACACCTTTTTCCCAAGGATCTATCAAGGGTCCCCTTGGGAGGGGAGAGTTCTTAGACACTAAATTAAGAATCTCTATGAGAGAGAGACAGAGACAGAGAGACAAAGAGACAGAGAGACAGAGAGACACACAGAGACACAGAGAGAGACAGAGAGAGACAGAGAGACAGAGACAGAGAAAGAGAGACAGAGAGAGAGAGACAGAGAGAAGGAAGGTGCCTGCCATAGAATCATAGAGGCAGGCTCGGGTAGGGGGTGTGGTGGGAGGGAAACTGGGTGATTGGAGGTGGGAAATGAACACCGGTGGAGGTACAGATCTTGTATCATTGTATGACTGAAACCCAATCGTTAACAGCTTTGTAACTGTGCATCTCATGGTGACTCAATTAAAAAAAAAATCTCTACAACAGAATCCCACTGCCCCCTCGAGAAATACAAAATCATCAATTATCATCGTTCTGGCACCATTTTTGGTCCTAAATCCATCCTCAGAGGAAATGACAGCCATGGTCATTAACTACGGTAGTGACATCAACCCTTCATTGAGTTCCTGTCTTGCATCAATAACTACACCCGGACACAGTTTATGCACTGACGGGTCTCAGCAACTCCCTATGAAGTTGTTTGTGTTGTTCACTACAGCTAAAGTTGGGTGAGGTTAGACTGAGTGCCTAAGTCACCGTTTTGGCTCACAAACATCCTTTTTTGCCTCTGCTTGCTGGCCTCTACCTCCTCTGCCATCCTGACCCAGGGGCTTGAGTCTTGTGCCCACTGCACACTCAGAGTCAGTCTCTCTACTCATCTCACAGGGACCCTTGGTGTCCCCTCACCTCCCTCCATCCCAGAGACAAGAGTGGAATGATTCCGTTCCCCTCCTTTGGAAAGTCTTGAACAGTAGGCCCTGGATGATCCAGGGGACATGCTGCCTTCTAGCCCAGTTCCTTTCTCTTCATGACTCCCCTGTGGATTTGTAACACTGTGAACCCTCAGCTGGACTGGAAGTTCCCTTGGGGAGTGGTTTCCCAACAGTTCACGATCACCTGGTAACAGGAAAACAACCAAAGTGACTGTCAATGCTGAGTCACCTGACCAGCACTGGGGCCTTTAAGGTTAGAGAGATTTCCTCTAGTTATCTGTGGTAGCGATCAAATTTACAAGTCACCACCCACTGAAGGGATTTTCTGGAACTGAGATGGAAGGAAACTGATGCACCTTGGTTTGGCTCTGGTGAGAGAGTTCCCTCAGAGGGCAGTTATCCCTCACTTACTCTTATGCCTGGTGGGCGAAGGTGTGAGTTGTGCTAGGACTCTTGGGAAAAAACACAATCAACCAAGGCTACTCATCTTTTTCACCCAGTGTATTGACTTGTAGGAACTGATTCGAAGAGAATCATCAGGATGGTTCATCTCCAGGAATCACTGTATCACTGTATCACTGTCACCCGTTGTTTGCCGATTTACTCGAGCGGGTGCCAGTAACCTCTCTATTCGTCCCAGCCCTGAGATTTTAGCAGCCTCTCCTTATTCGTCTTTCCCAATGATTGGAGGCTCTTACAGGGTTAGGGGAATGAGACCTGCTATAGTTACTGATTTTATCCCCAGGGATAAATATTTATACTCCATGAGAAAATGTATTCCATGAATTAATTCTCCCAATATTATGGCTATTTATTAATCATTCATTTGACTTATTCGCAGAAGATTTTGCAATAAGGAATTGGTTGGGGGCTAGAAAGATGGGGGTTAAGACACCTGCCTTGTGTATGGCTGATACCAGTTCAGTCCCCAGCACTGCCAGGAGTAACCACAGACCTCAAAGTAGCCTCTGACCACAACCCCCACCCCCACAATAGATAAATGCCCAAATGAATTGTTTTGATAATATGCAGTCAGAAAAATAAAATGGATGTAAGTATAATACATATTTTATATAGATTTAGGTCTAGGTCCATGTTCATATGTATGGTATAGCACTGGAGCACTGTCCTCCCGTTGTTCATCTATTTGCTCGAGCGGGCACCAGTAATGTCTCCATTGTGAGATTTGTTGTTACTTTTTTTGGCATACCGAATACGCTATAAGGAGCTTTCCAGGCTCTGCCGTGCGGGCGGGATACTCCCCATAGCTTGCAGGGCTCTCGGAGAGGGACGGAGGAATCGAACCCGGGTTGGCCGTGTGCAAGGCAAATGCCCTACCCGCTGTGCTATCGCTCCAACCCATGTACAGTGTATGTACACTAAAAAGTAACTGTAATCAAATTCCAAGGAATTCTTGTTTTGATTCATGTTGCTTCTACATACTTCTAAAGTTTCTACCAATTGGGTAATTTTTTGTTTGTTCTGTTGGGGGGCTGTCCCAGTGGTGTTTGGGGCTTCCTCCTGGTTCAGTGCTCAAGGATCACTGTACTATCCAGACCATCTTCTGTTTGAAGAGAACACACAAATGGGAAAAAAGCAGACTCAGCCTAAAACCACTGAGTGGCCAGGAAGTTCCCAGCTTTATGAGAAAACAGGAGCTGTTCTCCAGAAAACACCGAAAATCCATGCCAGAGTCAGGTGAGGCAGACCCAACCCATGAGCTAAAAATAGGCTATGCCGGGAATGCCCGACTCCATCTGTGTTTGGAAGCCAGAAGCAAGGACAGGGCAGGCGCAGAGCTGCGGAGCAGGATTTGAAGGAACCTTGAGCATAGCTGCATTGTCCATTAGGGTGTGGACACAGAGACCCGCCTTCGTTGTCAGCAGGTGGTTTCCTGCCCCGCAAGCCCACTCCAGCCCCACCACTACACACGCCCATTGTCCTGAATTTGC